TTTATTTCCATTGCTAAGTCGCTGATATAAACTGAAAAGAGCAGAGGACCAAGCACTGTACCTTGAGCTATCCCGCTGAGAGCCACATGTACGTCAGAGAGTACTCCATTTATTCTTGTTTGAAAAGTTCTTTTTTTCAAAAAGAAGGAAAGACAACCAAATAGATTACCACCAATTCCATAGTGGTCTATCTTATGAAGCATTTTATTGAATGGTACTTTGTCAAATGCTTTCTCAAAATCTAAGTAGACGATGTCGGTTTGTTCATTCTTATCAAAGCTTTGTGTCCAGGTGTTCAAACAAGTTGTGAGGTTGGTAATGGTTGACTTTTTTTGGAAGGAATCCATGTTGGTGATCTGTGATGGCCCCATTTTCAAGGAGGAATGGTGTTAATTCTTTTGTGATGACCTTCTCAAAACATTTGCAAATATTGGAAGTTAAACTTATTGGTCTATAGTTGGAAGGTAGTTGTTTATCGCCCTTTTTGTAAAGTGGGGTTACAATAGCATGTGTCCATATGTCTGGTAGTCTTCCACTCTCCATTATCTCATTCATGGCGTCTGCTAGAGGTTTCGTAATTGCTTCGTTGCAATTTTGAAGAAATACTACCGGAATGTTATCAGGACCAGGACCGGCGTCTTTCCTTAAGCAGTTAATGGCCTCAGAAACCTTGTCACTGGTAAAAACGATTGAAGTTAATCTGTTGTTGGATTTTGTTGATTCAGGAAGTTTCGGGAGCTCTGGATCATCGTCTCTTGAAAAAACTCTGGGTGAATTGTTGTGCAAATTTTTCTGCTATCGCGTAATCATCAGTAATTGGAGCTCCTGTGGACAGATCTTTTAAAGTAATTTTGGAGACTGTTGTATTAAGAGTGCGTTTTACGTATTTGAAAAATTGTTTGTTGTCGTTTGGTGTTGCAATTCTTTTTTCAAAGTCCCTCCGTGCTTCCCGGATTTTGTTTTTGAGTTGGTTGTTCTGAATTCTATACACGGAGTAGTTTTGTTCACTTGGAGAATTTCTGTAAATGTCCCATAGTCTTCTTTTTTTGTTGATCTCATTGAATAAATAAAAGTTTAACCAGGGTTTTTTTGGATTGACTTTAGATGATATTAATGGGACATATTTGGATATAGCCTGCTGTAGTATGTTAGTGAATGTCTCATATTTGTTTCTTGATGGACGTGTTGTATCAAAGTCTTGTTGGCTTAAATACAAGTTAATTTCATGGTAGTCTGCTTTCCAAAAATTTTTTTTGGTGACTTTATGGGTTGATCTATCTCTGCATTTGAGCTGTGATTTACCCGTGATCACAACATGGTCACTGTGGCCTATTGGTGCATCATGGTTTATATCAAAAACTAGCCTTTTGTCATTGACCAGGATGAGATCAAGTAACGATTTTTGATCGTTTCTAAAGCGAGTTGGAAAGTTTACAACCTGATAAGCATTCATTAAGTGGTAATTTTCAAAGAAAAGTTGATTTGATTTGTCTGATTTATATAAGCTCAAATTTTTCCAATTTATTTGAGGATAATTGAAGTCTCCTACGATAAATACCGGAATTTCCAGAGAACATGCCTCTGTTATGGCTGAAATCATTTCTATATCAGTTTCTTTTGTGGAGTATTCTATTCTATAGATGCAACATAACAACAGATTTAGGTTGTCAATTCTTACATCAATCCATAAAGATTCAACAGGAAGGGTTGTTGTGTATTTTGTTGATATGCATGAATGTACTTTGTGACCACTGATTTCCTCTTTGATGTAAATACATATCCCACCCCCTGGTAGGCCTCTGTCTTTTCTGAATAGGGTGTATCCGGCTACACTAATTAAGCTGTCGTCTAATCGATTATTGAGCCAAGTTTCCGTTATGAATATAAATGTAGGTTGGTTCTTTTGAATTGATGCTGCCCATTCTCCAGTTTTGTTTGTTAAAGACTGTACATTGCTATACCATAGGGCGACTTCCATGTTGTTTGAAATGTTTAGTTTTTTGAAACATTTCTGGTGACGATAATTTTTGGTGTAGAGTTAAAATATTTTATCCTTAAGTTTTGTTCACCTTGTTCTGTTCGTTTTTTTGAGCTCTTCAATAGTTTCTGTCAGGAAGTTTCTTTGCATTGGCGTTAAATCAGCCTTTACTTTGCATAGATCGCTTTAGAAGAATCGAGTGACTTTTTTTGTTTTAATATATTCAATGCCTCTTGTCTACTAGAAAAAATTACCTTTACTGATCTTATCCTGTTTGCTTCTGCTCTTCCCAGTCTAAAAGTTTTGATAGATCCTGTTGGCACACTATTGTTGATGCTATTTAGAATGCTTTTTACTTCCGATTTCTGATCTGCATTTACTTCAGATTCTTCTAATCCGAAAATTAATATGTTTGTTGCACGTCTTTCGCGCTCTGACAGCTCCTCAAGTGTTGGTAGGATATTAGTATTTGCCTCTTTAACGGGTCTAATATTTTCCACTTTTTGTTCGAGTTTGTTTATGTTTCCTTGTAGCGACTCAAACTGCTTGGGCATTTTTGCCTACGCTTGCATAGGTCTGATTGGTCTTATCAGCTGCTCTAATTCTGATTTCATGTCCTCAACTTGTGATTTCAAGACTGGTACAAGGTTTGTAGTTTCCACTATTTCTTTGATATTTTCTTGAATAGTTGCAACATCTTGTTCGACTTTTGGAAAAGCCTTTAGTGGTTGTATACACTTTGTACAGAAATAAGAAATAACTCGTTCTTTCAGCTCAATAAATCTGATTTCAGTTATGGACCATTTTTCACAAATTTCACATAAAACTTTTTTACAGAGGTCACATGGGTATGCAAAGGGCAGATTTGGAAGAACTCTTTCCTTAGATTTCCCAGTGCATTTAATTTTACATTTAGCACAATTCATCTTTCCAATTTGTTTAGATATTTGTAGCACCCTGTAATGCACCGGTTTTATTTTCAAATAGATAATAAAATATTGCTGCACAAGGTCAAGACAAGAATGCAGGTCCTTTGCCTATAGGTTTTTTTTTATTGTAATACTTTCAATAGATTAATTTGTTTTTGGGCTATTTTTCTAGTTTAAATTGATTGAATAATAGTTTATTTTATGCACTAATAAAGAGTTTTTTTTATAGCTATTTTTTGATGTAGTTTTCTGATTTGTTGTAGCACTTTAAACTGCAAAAAAACTCGCGTTTTTTAGGAGCGAATTGATAAGTGAACCACACGACCGAACGATTTTGTAGGTACTGTAGGTTCTGATATGTTTAGATATTGTGATGCATATTGGGCCAATTATCCAAATGACAGGTGTTCAGTTACTAGTTACATTTTTTTGAAAAAGGGTTCCCCCATTTCCTGGAATATTAAAAAACAGCCAACCGTGGTACTCTCTACGACGGAAGCAGAGTATATGGCTATGTTTTCAGCATTTCAAGAGGCATTATGGCTCAGAGGTTTAAGTCAAGAAATCAGTTCAGACTTGAAGCCAACTTTGTTGTATATCGACAATCAAGGGGCACAGAAGTTGGCATTAAACAGAGCATACCAGGCTCATACAAAGCATATTGGCATCACTTTCTGAAGGAGAAGATTGAGGAGGGGAAGTTGTGCCTGAATTATGTTCCGACAAATTTAATGATTGCTGAAACTTTCACCAAACCCTTGAATAAAGCAAAGTTTTTGAAGTCCATTACAAAACAAGGGCTTATTCTAAAATAGGGAGGATATTGGAATTATTTTATAATACCTGAGATTTGTTGTAATATAGGTACCGCTGGTACCGGTTTTTAGTTAGTTGCCTTTGAAAGATATATGTCTGTATTGTAATTTATAATTCAGTTGAATAGAATTCGTCCGTACTCTTCCAGATATTTTATTGGTGTTATATACAATTTGGGGCTTGATTAACAACATTTCCAACCTCTCGAGCAAGAGGACAGAACACCATCTTTACTCCCTTATATTGATAGTTTGATTGACAATATTATCTAGAAAAATATAAGTAAATTTTATGTTTAAAATCTATTTTTGTCAGATTCTTCCTGGGTACTTTCCCGAAATGAAAATAACATCAACAATACAATTTCCATTGATTGAAAAAATGCCCCCTACTGCAGTAAATAATACGACCGAGGCTATTTTTAGCCAGAAAACTGCAATTTTATGTCTTTTCCACAAATCGTGTCCTTATATTTTCTTACCAGAAATAATTACTCATAGTTCGTATGCCAATAACAATTTCAGTTGTGTTTCAAAATTCACTCTATATACATAAATGGCATTGTTCCTAAAAAAACATGAGTAATATAAGAAATTCGATATATGTGTGGTACCAGATGTTGTAAGTTAACAAAATATGTCTTGGGAAGCAATGTTGGTTTTAGTCAACATGTGAATTTTGTTGGTAAGAATTCATTTATTTATTTCAAAAAACTCCTCTTTAGTTTACGCCCGAGGTTCCTCTTGCACCTTGTGCTTTAATAACGAAACATCCTCGCACCTGCCCTATAAATTCCTATTACAGATTATCAGCCGAAGACATTTTGCGCCATCAGACAAATTCTGTTCGTGTATTTTAGACCGCTGGTGTCGATCTCCCCTAATATTCTCTCACCCCTTTGCCATTGTCGAACACCGGAGGGTGTCCCCCTTGTTTTGTGCGTCCTGACGTCACAGGACGCCAGTATAAATTTGACTTGTTGATGTTTTAAATGCGTCTCGTGTGTTTTTGGATTTTATTGTGTTAGTGAGTGCAAATAAGGATTGTTTAAAGTTGTTATGGAAGATTTTAAAATATTGAAAGTTATTTTGAATAAGGTATTTTGGCTCAAATTGCATAAAATTGAACTACTAAAAAGGTTTCACTTTCTAGTATTGGGTTTTATTGAAAATAATATAGGAAAGCGTGACTTATTCTCACCATTTTCAAGCTTATGATGTTTTAGTTTTAGTTGTTTTTCATTATCATTTATAATCATCCGATTTATTTACTTCTAGATGGCCTCATTGCCTTTATCCAGAAGCTCCACTTACTCTAGTTCAGACTCGGAATCCTCAGTGGACCTTTTACCAGCCTCTTGCAGTCTACAAGAAATCCGTCAGGAAGATTTGGCGGCAATTTTACCGGATCAAAGCGAGTGCAACGATTTCAATGATTTTGATAAAAACGATAAAGTAAGTATTATTTTAATAATTATTAAATAAAAATAAATACAATTTTTTTTTCTAAAAGAATTCTCCTGCTACTGGTGATATGTCAGGCTCGGATATGGAATTGCCTCAGCAAGCAATCAACTCCCTAATTCAAAGGACTACAGAGTCTTCGAGTGACGGAGAAGGTCATCAACTTCCTAATCCACAAACCTTATTTGCCAATAGTTTGCTGCAGCAATTTGTGCCTAGTAATCCACTTCTGAGTCCACCTACAGACCATACATTAACCTCTGACTCTGTAAGCCCTTCAAAAACATCAAATAAACCAGAAAATATTGCTAAAACTGAAATAGACGAGCCTATCGTTAAAAGAGGCAGAGGCCGCCCAAAACGTCTAACAACAAGATCAAAAAAACAAGAGCGAAGCAACGAGAGAAATATTCAAGAATTTTGTGGTTTGCCTAATGTCAGTCCTGATTCAGGTATTCAAAATAGTCCTGATCACGTTTCAAGTCCAGAACCGTCCCTTTCACCAAACATCAGACACAAAGAAACTAAAAATAAAATCTCACAAGAAAGATATTCAAAAAGGATAATGGCCAAAGAAAAACAAACTCATAAAAAAGGCTCGGAATCAAGTAGCAGAACTTCTTCACAAGAAAAAGTTCCTATAACTAAACAGCCAATAACATCCAATCAATTTGACAGAGTCTTATATGCTAATGCAGATAGAGTTTTGTATCCACCTAGACGTAAAGTTGGGCGACCTCCTGTTAATAAAAGACCAGGAAGACCTCCAAAGAATAATGTAGAAGCAAAAGTCCAAGAAAAGCCAATTTTAGTACAAAAAAGTAATAATGTAATAATCAGTCAATAATTGAAATAATAATGTATTTATTTTTTTTTTAGACAAAATCAAGCCAACAATACCAGTAGCCATGATCAAAGTACCCAAAATCCTTCACTCGAGGCACAAGCACAAGCACAAAAAACGCAAATTCAAAATCCTTAAACCCCCAGTACCTTCTGATCCGAAAATCAATCAGGAAATTGACAAGTTGATTGGGGATTTTGTTAAGTGTTGCGTGATCGCTGCCAAACAGCCCAAGGAAATTGTGCCCGAGCAAGTGCTAAAGACTTTGAAAAAGGTGACCAAAAAGAGACGGACTACGGATTATATGGAGAAGAAAAAGAAGAAACAGAGTGTCAGTACGACTATCAATAAGGTAAGAATTGTTGGCTTAAGTTATTTTGTATTTTTTATGAGAAACTATCACAGTTGTTTCTCATTCTTCTCCAAGCTGAAATCAACATAATATTATTTTCCATTTTCTTGAGAGTTTGTTATGGGAGGCCATTCTACTTTTTGGAAGTTGTTTATTTTACTTTTTCAACTAGATTTTGCTGTCAGAAGCTTTTCTGGGAATGTTACTCTTTTTCTCAAGCCAGAATATTTTATAAGCCACTCTTTTTTAATGGCTTTTGAGTCTCTAAGTTTTTAATTTGCTTTGACAAGCTTTTTGTAGAATTATTCAACAGTTTCTTAAGCTGTAACTTTGAAAGTTCCTAAAAAACACTTTCAGCCATTACAGCAACTTGAAACTTTCAGGATTTCTTAATCAGAATTAGATAAATTCTGTTTCTATTCCAGGCTCTTGAATGTTTCTTAGGGTAAGTTTAACTGTAAGGTATGTAATCTGACAGATAAAAATGCAATCTGTAATCCTATTGGTTGGCCAATTATTCACAGACCAATGAATTATAGAATAGTGAGTTTATATTTTGGATAGTTACCAGTAAGTTTACCTGAAGTTGAGTAAACAGGGCCTCATTCTCTTATAAAAAAAACAGAAATTCAAAAACCTGGAATGAAGAAAAAGTGATACTAAAGAAATGAGAAACAGAAAGAAAAAATCTAAGAAAAATTAGTGAATTCTGTTTCTATTCCAGGCTCTTGAATGTTTCTTAGGGTCGGTTTAACTGTCAGGTATATAGTCTGACAGATAAAAATGCAATCTGTAATCCCATTGGTTGGCCAGTTATCCGCCGACCAATGGATTATAGAACAGTGAGTTTATATTTCGGATAGTTACCTTACCTGCAAGTTTTTGAAGATGAGTAAACCGGGCCTCATTCTTTTATAAAAAAACAGAAACTTAAGATCCTGGAATAAAGAAAAATTGATACTGAAAAAATGAGAAACACAGAGGAGAAATTTGAGGAAAATTTTCTTCATGGTACAAAATAAGTTGAAAGTTGATATGAAACTTACAACAGTTTACGAATTTTTTTACTCAATAGATAATACCTGACAACACAAAATGTCTGTAAAATCACCTTTGAATATTCCTGAAAAATACTTTGAGCCATCACAGCAACTTGAAACTTTCAGGATTTATTAATTAGAGTTTTTTCATGATACAAAACAAGTTGGAAGTTAATATGAAACTCACAGCCAAAGTTACGGATTTTTTTACTTATTGATACCCGAGAAAATCATAAAATTCCTGTAAAATCACCTTTGAAAGTTCCTGAAAAATACTTTGAGGTATCACAGCAACTTGAAACTTTCAGGATTCAATAATTAGAGTTATTTCATGATACAAAACAAGTTGGAAGTTAATATGAAACTCACAACCAAAGTTACAGATTTTTTTACTTATTGATACCCGAGAAAATCATGAAATTCCAGTAAAGTCACCTTTGAAGGTTCCTGAAAAATACTTTGAGCCATCATAGCAAGTTGAAACTTCCAGGATTTAAAAATTACAATTTTTTCATGATACAAAACAAGTAGGAAGTTGATATGAAACTCACAACCAAAGTTACAGATTTTTTTACTACCCGAGAAAATCATAAAATTCCTGTAAAATCACCTTTGAAGGTTCCTGAAAAATACTTTGAGTCCCCACAGTAACTTGAAACTTTCAGGATTTATTAACTAGAGTCTTTCCATGATGCAACACAAGTTGGAGGTTGATATGAATTTCACAACCAATTTTTTTACTCATTGATACCTGAGAAAAATATAAAATTCCAGTAAGATCATCTTTGAAGGTTCCTGAAAAATACTTTGAGCCATCACAGCAGCTAGAAACTTCCAGGATTCAATAATTAGAGTTTTTTCATGATACAAAACAAGTTGGAATTTGATATGAAAGTCACAACCAAAGTTAGAGATTTTTTTACTTATTGATACCTAAGAAAATCAATAAATTCCTGTAAAATTACCTTTGAAAGTTCCTGAAAAATACTTTGAGCCATCACAGCAACTTGAAACTTTCAGGATTTATTAATTAGAGTTATTTCATGATACAAAACCAGTTGGAAGTTGATATGAAACTCACAACCAAAGTTACAGATTTTTTCGCTTATTGATACCCGAGAAAATCAGAAAATTCCTGTAGAATCACCTTTGAAGGTTCCTGGGAAATTAAAAGAGAGAAATAAAGCAATGGAGAGAGGAAATTTGAGAAAAACTGACAGGACAAGTCGTGAGAAGTATGAAAAAGACTCAAGAGCCTGGAATAAACAAAAATTGAGACACAAAAATGAAGCAATATATAGAGGAAAGTTGAGAAAAAGTTAGGGCATATTTTCCCTATGTCAGTATTTTGAAATTAAGATTCAACAAATCAATGAAATCCTCAATAAATGTTTTTGATGAACCCTTAACAGTAAATAAATTACATTCAAATCCATTGCAGTTGGGGTGGCTTTCTCTATTATCCAAATTAAATGACAGATTTCTATGACAGGTTTTTTAAAATTTGTTTTGAGTGGTCTTATACCAAACTCTAATATGAGCAATTTCTTAACATGTTCCAAGCTGAAATTTACCATCAGAAGTTTTTCCAGAATTCTTACGCATGTTAACGAGCCAGAATTTTGTATTGAAGACTCTTTTCAACTTATTTCCCATTGCCTCAACTCCTAATTTGCTATAGGAGGTTTTACTAGAGTTATTTCCCCTTTTAACCTGAAATTTACCTACTATTAAACATTTTTTTCCTATTCTTTCAATTCAGAATTCAATATGAGCAAGCAAAAATTATTTTCAAAAGCCAAAATTGACTCTAAGAAGCTCCTCTAGAGTTTCTAATTTCCTTAAGTTTCAATTTAAACCTCTTGTAAACTAATTCTTTTTAAATATAGGTTCCGAATTCAAATGAACAACGTTTGCCATTAAAAAAGCGCCATTACCACCTAGTAAGCAACAGTAGTGAAAACCCAAAACCTCAACCAGAAACCAGTGAAGAATCAAAAGTTGAAGCCAAAACCGAAAAAAAAGAAAAACCGGCAAAAGACAATAATAAAGTAATCAAAGGCCACATAAATAATAACGAATATGAAGTAAAGGTAAGAAATTGTTACTGTTTCTCAAACATTGGGTTTTATTAAGCAATATTTTAGGCAGAGAGAATAGAAAATGAGGCCAGTGTTCACATAGAAGAGGCAATAGAGGCTTGCATTAACAAGTTTGCTAATAAACTTCCAACCACTGAAGAAAAATCTCCTGAAAGCAAAACAGTTCCAGCAACAACCCCCAAAAAACGCCACAGACTTGAAAATTTACAACCAGACACTGAATCAACTCCAGAAATTAAAACCGAAATCGACGAAAAAATAGAAAAACTAAAAACTTCTATAACAGTGGAGTCTTACATCAATGAACTGAAAATCAAAAGAAATTTAATGGGCACAAAAAGCACCACAGAAGAAGTTAATGACAAAAAACTTGAAACTGATTCAAACAAAACTGTAAAAATCAAAGATGAAGCTCCTACAATATTAACCGATGATGACAAAGTGGAAAACATTGTCCCAGTTTCGCAAGAAAGTACCAAGAAAAAAGTTCGAAAAAGACGCACCTACAACCGAACAGGATTCCCAAGTATCAAAAGAAAAAAGAAGAAAACAATGGCTGTGGAAAGTGCCCCTAAAGAATGTATTAGCAATATTGCCCAGGTTTGTGATAGAGTGCCTAAACAAGGTGAGGAAATCAAGAAATTCCTTCAACGTAGCAGTGCCAGTAAGTCATCAAAACTTGAACCACCTTCTGAAGATAATAGCAGCGAATGCGAGAGCCTGCCTCAAGACCAGAGAATGGATTCTGAAGATAGTCAAAGCGAAACGGACAACCCAAATGAAAACTTATCTTTGCTTGAATCTTCTATAGAAAGACTCAGATCTAGGCTGGATCAGAAAACGCGCAAACGCACCAAGAATTTGCCTGAAAGTATTTATCCTAAGCGGCGAAAAAGAGAAGAGTCACCTGCTAGCAGTATAGAACCTCAAGCAGAAAGTACTTCTGGTGATGAATTGAGTAAAAAGAAGAAAACTGGAAGGAAGAAATATTTAGTAGCAGGATTGTTTTCTGATTATTATAAAGAAGAAGAGTAAGTAGTTAATATTTGAAAAATAGTTTTGTTATACTGTATTTTTTAGACCTAGACGCCAAGACATAACAAAATCAACAAGAAGTTTAGTTTATAATCCTGAAGAACACCCATTTGGTTTGCTACCACCCCCAATCCATTGCGGCAAAAGTTTCCGCAAAAAACGCATCGACTTCCAACTGCCCTACGACATCTGGTGGCAGCACACCCACTCCCAATTACCTGGCAGCGACGTGGTACCTTCGTGGAACTACCGCAAGGTACGCTCCAACGTCTACAATGTGAAAAACAACGGCGGCGCTTGCGAGCCGCAATCCTGCAATTGCAAAGCCACCTCTAATTGCGAAGATGATTGTATCAACAGGCTGGTTTTGGCTGAGTGTCCTCCGTCGCACAAATGTCAGAATCAGCGGATACAGAAACACGATTGGGCGCCTGGGATTGAGAAGTTTATGACTGAGGATAAAGGTGAGAATAATTGTAATATTAGTAGGGGAGTTGGAATTATTGGAAATTCATAAGAACATAAAAATCGTGCACTTTGTGCCAAGTTTTTGAAATTTGGTGTAGTTTTAGGTATGGTCTTAAGGTTTTAAAAAACCATTGCAAGGAACTTGTGTGCGACCTCTGGTGGCCGCAATCTTTATATTGGTGTTTTTAATAGATGGACTTCTATTAGTCATAATCATAGGCGCAACTAGGGGGGTGCTTGGGGGTGCTAAGCACCCCTAAAGCAAAAATTAGCACTCCTATTCGGCATCCCACCATAGCACTACCTAACACTTATATAAAAAATTAGTGCAACCAAATTATTTTATGTATTTTTTTTGCACTTTTTGTACTTACTTACGTCATCGATGACGTCGTAATTTAGAAAAAAGTATTTGTCGTTGATTAATTTATAGAGCACATTCGCAATTATTATTGTTATGGAATAAAAAATTTCAACCGGGGCCGGTATTGCAATATTACCTTAAAATCAAGACTTACCCTAAAGTATAGGGTTTTTATGTTATATTTAGAATGACGTCATCGAACAAGGTCAGACAATGTTGTCAATGTCTATGTTTATTCTATATCTTAAGGTGACATTGGAATACCGGCTCTTAAAAAATCATTGGAGTCCCAAATATATAAATTAATTAACTGCGTATTATACAGGGTGTTCTTGAATATCATGTACAAACGACAAAGGGTGATTCTTTTTTTTTTACGGCTGAAATCTCAAATATGTTCTCAAAAATTGACTTATTTAAGCAATTAAAAAAAATTCACCCTCTTACATTTTAATTTTTTTCTGGAAAACTTGCAAAGAGAAAATTTTGAAAATTTTCCAGGAATAAGAGGAAAATGAGAAGCTCATTTTACGAAAATTTCAAAATTTTTCAGTAGAAAATTAATCCAGGAAAAATTTTGAAAAACTCACTTTTCAGCAAAATTAAGGAGAATTCATCCTCTTACATTTTAATTTTTTTCTCGAAATCTGGCAAAGGGAAAATTGTGAAATGTTTCCAGAAGAAAAAGAAAAGTGAGGAGCACATTATAGAAAAATTTCAAAATTTTCCAGTCAAAAATCACTCCAGGAAAAATTCTGGGAAATTGACTTTTTTAGGCAAAATTCACCCTCTAACATTTTGATTTTTTTTTGGAAAACTGGCAAGAAAATTGTGATAATTTTCCAGAAAAAGAAGAAAATAATTATACTCATTATAGCAAATTTTGTAATTTTCGAAGACTCGTAATTTCCGTAATTTTTCATTAGAAATTTTTTAATTCCTGTCATTTTTCAAATAATTCTTATAATTTTTTTATTAATTTCTGTTGTTCTTCAAATTTTCATAATTTTTTAATTCCCGTAGTTTCTCAGAAAATTCCGTTATTTTTATAATTCCACGTTTTTGTATATTTCAAAAATTAGTAGGTAATTCCCGTAATTTCCGTATTTTTTCTGGACATTTTTCAAAATCATTTCCCGAAAACCTTTGTAATTTCTAATTCTCGTAATTCCCGTAACTTTTTCGTAATCCCCGTAATTTTTTATAATTCTCGTAACTTTGATAGTTTTCGTAATTTTCAATTCAATTTTCAATTGTCGTAATTTTTTAAATTTCTTGAACGTTTTTTGAAATTTTTTAATTTCCCGGTCTTTATAATTTTTGTAATTGTAATTCCTGATTCTTGTTATTTTCTAACTTTTTGAAAATCATCATAGGTTCTTCCGATTTTTGCAATTCGTTAATAAATTTCCGTGATTTATTTCCAGAATTTTCGTAACTTTTGTAACTTTTCTAATTTCCATAATTTTTTAAAAATTTAATTATTTTCCGTAGTCCCGAAATTTTTCGTAATTTCTGCAATTTTTGCAATTCCCCTAATTTTCGTTAATTAACAAATTCCTTAATTTTTGTGTTATTTCCGATATTTTTTTTTTTTTCAATTTTTCGTAATTTCCGTAATTTTTGCAACTCCTATAATGATTCTAATTGTCCTAATTTTCGTAATTTTTTATGATTTTTGTGATTTCTGTTATTTTTTTAATTCCCGTAATTTCTTTATTTTATTTTTCAATAATGATAATTCCCGTAAGTTTTTGAAATTCTCGTGATTTTTATTATTTTTTCGTAAAACGTAATTCCCAATAATTTTTTGCAATTCTACGTAATTTTTGAAATACGCCTAATTTTTTTCAATGATTTTCATTGTTTTCCGTAATACTCGATTTTTTTCTAATTTTATAATTCTTCTCTCAATTTTTTTAATAATTAATGTAATTTCCGTGATTTTTCGAAATTTTTCTTAATATTGTTCCATATTACGTAATTTTCCAATAATTTTCGTAATTTTACATAATTTTTGAAATTTCCATGATTTTTTTTCGTAATTTTATAATTCTCCTAATTTTTCAATAATTGTAATTCCTGTATTTTTTTGAAATTTCCGTGATTTTTTGTAATATTCGTTATTTTTCATTTTTATAATTCCTGTAATTTACGTAATTTACCCATGAATTTCGCAGTTCTACATAATTTTTGAAATTCCCGTGATTTTTGTAATCCTCGTGATTTTTGTAATTTTTTCGTAATTTCCGTAATTTGCCAATGATTTTTGCAATTTCACGTAGTTTTTGAAATTCCCGTAATTTTTTCAAATAATTTCCATTACATAAGTATTCCCGGTTTTTTTCGTAATTTTGCAATTCTCATTTTAATTTTTCAATAATTGTAAGTGCTGTTATTTTTTTAGTTTCCGTATTTTATGTAATTTTTCTATTATTTTTGTAATTTTGCATAATTTTTGAATTTTCAGTATTTTTCAATTTTTTTTATTTTCATTGCTTCTGTAATACCCGATTTTTTTGTAATTTTTTAATTTTCCTTTTAGTTTTTTAATAATTAAAGTATTTCCCGTGATTTTTCAAAATTCCCGTGATTTTTGCAATTTTTCCGATTTTTTTCATTTTTTCGCGATTCCTGTAATTTTCGAAATTTCTATAATTTTTCAATTTATTTTTATTAATTCTATATTTTCCGTATTCCTGTATTTTCCGTAATTTTTTAATGGAATTTTTATAATTTTCCTAATTTTTGTGATTTTTGTAATTTTTTGAGGAATCTTCGCAAATTCGGTAATTTTTTGATTTTTTCGTAGTTTCTAATATTTTTCAATTTTTGTAATTCTTTAATACATTATTTTCGTAATTTTTAATTCTTTTAATTTTTATAATTCTCATATTTTTTTAAAAATCTAGTAACTTTTGTAGTTTTAAAATTTTTGTAATTTCTGCTAATTTCAATTTTTGTAATTTTCGTAAAATTTTTCGAAATTTTTGCAATTCTTAAATTTTTTAAATTGTCCATTCAAAACTATAGGAATTATATACATAATTCAAAATTTCAAAAAATATTCTGAAATTACGGAAATTATTCGAATATTACAGAAATTACGAAAAATAACGGAAATTACAAAAAAATAGGAGAATTACAGGAATTATTCCAAAAATGCAGGAATTACTCAAAATTATTCAAAATTACAGGATTTATTTGTAAATTACGGAAATTTTCTCAATATTACAGAAAATTACAGAATTTACGAAAAATGGAAATTATGAAAAATTACGTGAATAATGAAAAATTATGGACATTACGAAAAACTATGAAAATTACAGAAATTATTGCAAAAAATTTTAAAATTTTCAAATGAAAAATGACTCCATAAAAAATTCTGGAAAATTGACTTATTTAGGCAAAATCAAGGAAAATTCATCTTCTTACATTTTAATTTTTTTCTGGAAAACTGGCTGAGGGAAAATTTTGAAAATTTCCCATGAAAAAGAGGAAAGTGAGAAGCTCATTATAGGAAAATTTCGAAATTTTTCAGTGAGAATTCACTCTAGGAAAAATTCTGAGAAATTGACTTTTTCAAGTAAAATTAAGGAAAATTCATCCTCTCACATTTCAATTGTTTCCTGGAAAATTGGCAAAAGAGGAAAAAGAGGAAAGTCAGGAGCTCATTATAAAAAAATTCCAAAATTTTTCAATGGAAAATCGCTCCAGGAAAAATTCTGAAAACATGATTTTTTCAAGTAAAATTAAGAAAAACTCATCCTTTCACATTTTAATTTATTTCTGGAAAACTAATAAAGCAAAACTTGTGAAATTTTTTCAGAAGAAAGAAGAAAACGAGGAGTTCATTATAGGAAATTTTCAAAATTTTCTAGTGAAAAATCACTCTAAGGAAAGTCGATAGGAAAGTTCTGGAAAATTGACTTTTCTTAGCAAAATTCATCTTTTCACATTTAATTTTTTTTTTTGGAAAACAGCTAAAGGGAAAATTTTGAAAATTTTCCAGGATAAAGAGAAAAGTGAGGAGCTTATTATTGGGAAATTTCAAAATTTTCCAGTGAAAAATCACTCCAGGAAAAATTCAAAGAAAATTGACTTATTTAGGCAAAATTAAGAAAAAATTCACCCTTTTACATTTTAATTTTTTTCTGAAAAACTGGCAACATGAAAATTTTGGAATTTTTACAGGAGAAAGAGGAAAGTGAAGAGCTTATTAGAGGAAAATTTCAAAATTTTCCAGTGAGAAATCACTCCAGGATAAATTTATTTATTTGGGTATATTTGGATAATTGAATACATTCTATTGTATGTATTACAAAAGGTGCTCCATGAATTAATCTATGATTTAACTTTTTCACCAGAGGCCGTGCACAAGATGCTTGCGATAGTTTCTTAAAACCAGGGTTGACATACACGAAAATCCATTTCAAAAACACAGTGGGTTTTTGACACAAAAACCCATCATCAATATTGACAAAAACCCAGTGGGCTTTTTTGTGTCAAAAATCCACTTACAGAAATATGCAACTAACATTAGTCTTTGGCATTTTCATATTGGGAAAGTTTTTTAATATTAAGCAATTTTTCTACTTGCTCTGGACTCTGGAGCTATAAGCGGTTCCTCAAGTCTGATTACACATAATACAATATGCAATTTTTAGTGGAGTCCTGAGTTTGAGACACAAAAACTCTCACAAAAACCCAAAAAGTCAATACAAAGTTTCAAAAACCCGGGATTCTTATACTATTGAAAGACCTGGCACAAATTCCACGATTCCTATGAATTTTCCCTTATGCTATAGATGAAATTTCAATTATTGTTGCTTCTAGGTTGGGGTGTCCGAACTAAAGAAATGATAAAACAAGGAGATTTTATTTTGGAATATGTTGGAGAAGTGGTTTCGGATCAGGAATTTAAAGAACGCATGAACAGCATTTATGTTAATGACACGCATCATTACTGTTTACACTTAGACAGTGGTTTGGTTATTGACGGACATCGTATGGGCAGTGATGGAAGATTCGTTAATCACTCTTGTGAGCCTAATTGTGAAATACAAAAGGTAGTGATTTTATTTATTTATTTATTTATTTATTGAAAGTATCAACAGCAGAGCCAATTATAGATACTGACTTAATAGTAATAATACAAGAATATAGATAACATTTTGAATGCCTTAAGACTAATAATGTCTATATCTACATCTGAGGCATAAAGGTTAAATAGATCACACAAATTGTAGATCGAAAAGACATTTTTACTCCTTGAATTATACGATTTATAGTAATTTATACCAAAAGTAAGCTGTTCCAAAATACCTGGGCAGTCAATATTATTGGTGAAAACCCCATACATACTACATAAGAATATTCTTATCCGCCTTTTCTTCAGTGACAGTCTACTGGACACACGCAAAAAATAGTAATTGCTATAGCCACGCTGGGGATAAACTCCAAAATTTCTGAAGTACGGACATTTCACGCTTTCTATGATTTCACTCCAATTATGGTATTGGGGTGATCATATTACTCTGCCATATTCTAAGATAGGCACAACGAGACTGTCAAAGAGAGATAAGCTAATGCCAATACTAAAACATTTTGTTTTTCTTGTAATGAAACCTGATACCTTCTGAGCACTAAAAATGTTTGACAAAATATGTCCCAAGAAAAACATAGCAGGATCAAAAATAACTCCCAGATCTTTTTGCTCAGACACTCTTTTCAGTTTTACATTACCTACAGAATAATCATAAATGACAGACCCCTGTGGAATACCTGATGTGCTGATAAAAACCATAGACAAAAACTACTGATTCACAACCCTTAATTTCAACATACTGACAGTACCCAAGTATGAAAGAATCAAATTGATTATAATTTGAGGCTTCTCGTCAAAATTATGCCATGCCGGACTTTATCGAAAGCCTTTTCTAAATCAGTGTATACAACATCAACTTGTGATTTTCTATTCAACGCTTCATGAATGTACTGTGAGAAGGTGGCGAGATTCGTAAATGTAGACCTCTTTGGTAAAAAACCATGTTGATTTAAGGCAATTTTTTAGTTGAAAGGGTTGTTTTTTACAATAATTATTTTTATTTTTAGTGGAGTGTCAATGGTCAATTCAGGATGGTATTGTTTGCTCTAAGAGACATCAAACCTTATGAAGAACTAACTTATGACTACAATTTTTCGTTGTTCAACCTGGCCGAAGGCCAGGAGTGCAAATGCCGCAGCGATCAATGCAGAGGCGTTATCGGAGGCAAAACTCAAAGAACAAGGCAACTTCCCGAGGCCTCTTTGGTACCGAAAAACCCCGGCAGAGTGGGCAGGCCCAGGAAAAACGAAGCCAAAAAGAAAGAGACCAGTACCGCCAGCATCCCGCCGCCTCAGAGTCAAATAATACCTCAGATCCAAGTGAAACCGATGAGCCATCAGCAAAAGTGTTTTATTTTGGAACACCATTGTTTCTTATTGAGAAATTTGACTAAAGTGCGTAAGGTGAGGCACAGATCTCAGAGCGTCACTTCAAGTATAGTAGGACGCCAACAAACGGCCACGCCCACCGATTCTAGCGCCTTTAATTATCAGCTGAATGCCTTGCAAAAACCGAGGAGTATGAAAACAAGGAAGATTACTCAGGCTGAAGACGATCCTGAACTGAACAAGACAATTAAGCTGGCAGGGATTTTGAAGGAGATTTTGATGGGATTAACTACAGCAAAAGGTAAAAATAATAATTGAATTTGTAGGAATTTATTCATGAAAAAGTTTATAAGTTTAGACTGCAGGAGGATAATTCACTTTTTCAATCTCAAATTGCCTTATCTCTATTCCTATCCTACTTATAACTCCCTTGTATGTACTAAACATTTATAAGCCAATTTCTAACAGGAGTATTGTAGATTGCATTTGGAGTCATTACAGCTTGTTCCATGGTAACCTGCACTGGTTATCAAACCCATAGTTGCGGGTTGACCAAATGGAATAATCTGAAGCTTGATCAATGGTTTTGGCTAAACTATACAATATGAAACGAATATATTGTAGGTTACTAGTGTTTTGTGGTTACCATTGTGTAAAATGCTCTGTATATTGTATAATTACCTTTTTCTATGAGTATTGAATAATATGCATAATATACATTCATTTTCTATGGATCAATGTGAATGATTACTCATGCGGTGAGTTTTTCTTTCATTACCTAATTGTTTTCAACCAATGAAAATATCCTGCTCTCATTACTCCACTATTTAAGAGCCAATCAGAAAATTCGACATGTTGACAACATACTTCAACCTTCCAATCTGTCATTTCGACAATTGAATTGTGCTAATTTAACATCACTTTGCTCTCCAGCTGTCAGAATTGTCAATTAATTTTGTTACGAAAATTAAATAAAAAATCGCATAACTCGTGCCTATTACTTATATCTTTTAATCATAGAAAAAGTATAGTATTCTGCTCGTGGGTAATTGCTATTACTCACTCGGATAATTTAACTACTCGCCTGCGGCTCGTAGTGCAAACTTCATCCTTCGTGAGTAATAGCCATCATTACCCGCTTGCTGAAAAATATACTATTTTCCTTTAGATATCAACTGTAGATACCAATACCGTTGATGTAAATTAAAGTTGTCATTAATATAATCATAGTGGATAGGAACCTTAAGTGGGATCAGCATATACTTAGACTAACAAGCAACATCCGGAAATTAGTATACAAGTTTTACATACTGAGGGACATTCAGACAGTGTAGCAAATACTTTTACTCTACCTTTGTCTCTTTTTGCTACAATAAAGCTGAATATGTTTGTCTCAAAAAACGTAAGTAGAAGCATTTGCTTCTGTTTTATTCATATGATCCATTTTAAGCAAAGGACTTCTGATAAGTGTATACAGGGCGCTGGTTGAGTCACTGATAAGATATGGTGTGGTTGCGTGGGGTGGCCTTTACCAAAACTCTCTGAATACATAGTGCAAAATTACATTCTAAAAATCATATACCGCAAAAACAAACTCTTTTCCACCAGCTTACTATATTCAGTAGACATTCTGAGTGCACGTACAATATATTGCCTCATATCATGTTCGTATATTCATAAAACTCCAAGACTGAAACAATTTGTCAATCATAAGCATGAAACGAGAGGTAAGACGGGAAAACATTTGGGGCAGGCTGTGAACAAAACATCAGAAAAATTGCGATTGTTCTCATATCTTGGGCCAAAAATGTACAATTTATTACCACTAGAAATAAGGTCAATGCCAAGACTCAGTAGGTTTAATGACAGATGTAGAGTATTTATATACGATAATTTTGATAGATTCAGTTTACTATTCTAGCGATTAGCATCAATTGTTACACTATCTTTGGGTGGGTGTATGTATATAATTATATAATAGGTATATATGTTTATTAATTATTAATTGTAGTTTTATAAAGGGAAAGAAGGATATTGTCAAAGAATGTTGCACACACATTGCACATACAGGTGGTCTTGTCTACCTAGGTGCAATCTAAACTATATTTAAGACTTCTTAATTGTAAGCTTCTAGAAATAAGTCACAGCTCTGTAACATAGAAAAATACAGTAATATATTTGAATGTTGAATGTTATATTATTCAACGAGCGGGTAATGATGGCTATTACTCACGAAGGATGAAATTTGCACTACGAGCCGCAGGCGAGTAGTGTAATCATCCGAGCGAATAATAGCCATTACCCACGAGTAGAATACTGTACTTTTTCTATGATTAATAGATAATATAGGTACGAATTATGCGGTTTTTTATTCAATTTTCATAACAAAATTGATTGACAATTCTGACAGCTGGAGGACAAAGTGAGGTAAGGTTAGCACAAATCTTGTCCATATCAGCTGTCAAAATGACTGATTGGATGGTTGAAGTATGTTGTCAACTTGTCGAATTTTCTGATTGGCTCGTAAATAATGGAGTAATGAGAGCAGGATATTTTCATTGGTTGAAAACAATTAAATAATGAAAAAAAAAACTCACTTATATGAGTAATCATTCACATTAATCAATAGAAAATGGATGTATATTACGCATATTATTCAGTACTCATAGAAAAAAATCATATCACAATTAACTTATCAAATATAATAAATAGTTATAACACATTGGGTTACCACTGTTTGTGAAACTGGCCCTTAGGGTGATAGTCATACTCCTTCAAGGATTTTTGAAGAAGTGAGCTCATTCACAGGTTAAATGTTTTCTACTTTCTGTTGCTGGTTCATAAGCTCTGTAGTGGTCTTTGTCTGATTTCCCTATTCTTATTAGGTTATATTTCACCAGGCAGGAGATTAACGAAGATCTCTTTGCTGAAATAAATATGAACCTTTTTGCCTGTCTCAGACTCAAAATGGATCTCAATGAGCTAGCAGTTGGACCTTTTCTAATCTGTTTATTTCTTGGGAGTTCATTAGTTCACATCTGAGCCTTGAAAGTTGGAAAAAGTCTTGAATTCTGCTTCTCAAAGGACCACTTAACTTTTTTAAATATCCTTTACTTCAATTTAAATAAACTTCTCTTTCTTGAAGGATTTTCAGCGTACAAACTTAACTATCACTGTCAACTTTACATTCATAAAATAATGCGGAAGAATTGATGTTTGTATCAGGGTTAATTTGTTTCTCCCAGCTAGTTACTTAAGGATATTTTTACCCCCTCCCAAACTAGAGCCTTTAGAGCCGCTTGACTCTACAGCAGTATAATCTATTATTTTTTAAAACAAAATTACAGTGGTTAAATTCATTACACAAAAACATTTCAGGTGACAAAGGTGAAAATCTAAGCACTCACATAAATCAGCTTCCGTCCAAAAGAAAGGTACCGCAATTCTACCAGAAGGTACCCGCCCCCATAGATCTGGCAACAGTACAACAAAACGTCGCAACAGGAGTCTATAAAACCCCTCAAGCATTTGACGAAGACATGATAAAATTATTCACAGGTACTAAAACCTCAACACCATACATATTTCAACAAACCTAATACATACATCCAATTTTAGGCTTCTCCAAATATTATCCAAGGACCACTGAAATAGGAGTGGCAACCTCAAAACTGAAAAAGCTGTACAACGAAATCAAACACAAGTGTCTAACCAAATTTGAAGATTTGCTTGGCAAAAAAACAACGCCTACTTTTGCCAATAGTAGAAAGAAAAGTGAGTATTTAATTGCAAAACTATTTAATCACTCACTGGATGATGCCTATCACATTTTACGAAAGTATCACTAGCGTAGACAGTCCTATGACACAGAAAATTAGCTCCAAATAAACACCCCTGTAATTTGGTACATTGTTGATTTTATACAGATTCAAATATAGGAAAGTTTCAATAACGCTTTCTGCAACCCTCAATAAGAGTTCCAAGAGCATCATTAGACCATTTTAAATTAGGGAGATTATAGTCCTCGGCAACAAATAAACTATGGTCGCTGTATAGACTAGATGCTTTTTCCACTGTTTCACAATGTTTTCTATAGGCATCACTATATGATGATGGTGGAATATACACACAGCAAAATAGTTTTTTGTAGAGACTTGTGGATACTCATATTTCCTCACTATTATTGCAAGAGATTTGCAGCTGTTGGGATTCATATTTCTCATTTACTACGCCTCCATTTCTCCGTTTACCAGTGACTGTATTATCTCTGTCCTTTCGGTATATGTTATAGTTATCCATACCCAATTCACTGCTTCTAAAATCCGAATTTAATGGTCTCCGTAAACAAAATCACATCATATTGATTGAGTGCAACTTTATTACGAAGTAGCTCTAAGACCATTCAGGTTCTGATAGTAAACACTTATAGTGGAACTGTTTAGTACCTGGTTCTCCCTCCTTGGTTCCAGTGAAAATTTGAATGGAAATTTGTATTACATCGATTGCCACTGTATGATCCTGCACGTGCATATCTGGCATGGAACTGACTCTTACCAGCTTGCCTGGTGCCAAGGTTAAATTTGAACTCTCGGACAATGATATTTCTATATACAGGGTGGGGCACGAATAACTTTGCATCCAGGTTTTCTCAAATGTTAGGTGTTTAATCGCTCGGACATATTAATTTTTTGTTTTTTGGGGAACATCTTTTATTGGTATTTTCATCCCCTACCTGTCAACCCTTAAGTGGGGGTGACAGGTACCTCTAAAATTTCAAATAAAAAGGGAGGTCGAGTGATACGTCATTTGATAGCTATTTTCATTAAGATTATATCCCCAAAGTTTTAAGTTACTACTATTTACCCTGTCCAAATGGCGGCATGTCAAAGTTAGGAAAAATCAATGGAAAAATGCTGTGTGGTTTTTACCTGTCACCTACGCATAGGAGTGGCAGGTAAAAACTATACAGTTTAGGTTTCGAAAAAAAGCATTTATCCTTACTTTGACATGCCGCCATTTCGGCAGGATAAATAGTAGCAACTTAAAACTGCGGGGATATAATCCTAATGAAAATAGCTACCAAATAACATATCACTCGACCCCTCTTTCCATTTGAAATTTTAGGGGTACTTATTACCCCCACTTAGGGGTTGACAGGTAGGGGATGAAAATACCAATAGAAGATGTCCTCTAAAAAACGAAAACTGACGTGTCCGAGCGATTTTCTATTAATCACCTAACACCTGAGAAAACCTGGGTGGGAAGTTTTTCGTGCCCCACCCTGTATATCACAAGATAAAGATTGTCGGCAAAATTGTCGAAAAATATCATTGAGACATGTAGCCATTTTTTCTTTGAAACTGGCTATTTTTTATGCATTAGACATCTTTATTATTCCCATTATACACCAACAAAGTCAGCATTCTTTGTGATTAATGCACTGAAAGACTGGTCATTTTTCATTTGGGCTTGTAAATCCACATTGCTGTATGTCATAGCCTAATCCACTGAGTGTAATTTACAGATAATTATATTGCAGATGAAGAAGAAGACATTATTCGTTGTATATGCGGCATACCTCGTGACGAAGGCCTTATGATCCAATGCGAAAGATGCACAGTTTGGCAACACATTGAGTGCGTCAACGCAGACGCTTCCGCTGCGAGTTATCATTGCGAAGTTTGCGTACCAAGAAAAGTGGATTACGAGATTCCTATGGACGATTACACTGAACATGGACACAAGTAATTAGTTTGCCTATATATAATAGTTGCCTCATTATTAATTAATAATTCTTTGTAGATATTATATGACTTTGATGCGTGGTGAGCTTCAGCTGCGTCAAGGCGATACAGTTTACGTTTTAAGAGATATTTCTATACCTGGCACCAACAAAAAGCATACTTATGAAACCATTGGCAAAATTGACTATTCAGAGTTGGATATTTTTAGAATTGAGAGGCTTTGGAAGGATAAGGATACTGGGAAGAGGTTTGCTTATGGGCATCATTATTTAAGACCACACGAGACTTTTCATGAACCAACAAGAAAGTATGAATTTTCAAGTAAATTTTTCAGACACTCTTTTCAATTGAAATAATTTCTAGATTTTTCTCCAATGAAGTCATGCGAGTACCACTTTATGAAGCAGTACCAGTCGAATTGGTAATGGAACGTTGCTGGGTGATGGATATAAATACATTTTGCAAAGGCCGTCCTATTGGAGCCCAAGAAGACCACATCTACATATGCGAGTATCGGGTTGACAAGGCGGCCAAGATGTTTAGTAAAGTTTCGAAAAACAAATTCCCTATTTGCACTAAAAGTTTTGCCTTTGAACAATTCGAAACTCGTTTGAAAATATCGAGAACTTATTGTCCGCACGATGTGGATGAGTCGTTGTTGAAAAATGGGGCTGTAGGTAGGAAACCAGCTTCAAATTCAACTCAAGTGCCTAGTACTTCTAGTGTTGCTATTACTATACAAAAGGTAATTGATTTATTTTCGATTGTGTGTTTTTGCAATTAGTGTGTGATTTTTAGACTCCTGCACAACAAAAATTGAGGCTGAACAAGATATTATTGAATCTCTTAAGCAAGATGCCTGGCAAGCAGGTTTTGGATGTGTCTTATTTACTGGAAGCCGGTAGGAGGAGGAAGAAACAAGAAATTAAACAATGATGATTTTTTTTTTTGGAAATTTACAAAATGGATATTTGGGTGATATTTATTAGGACTGTTATTGTTGCTGTTTAATGAGACGAATTGGTGAGTGGTGAACAGATAGATAATATTGTTAATATTTTTTTTGAAATTAATTACATTTAAACGTGATAAGCCATTCTTGAATCTAATTTTGAAGTTTCTGTCCTCGATTAACAGTGAAAATTCTTATCACGTTTAAGTGACATCCCTTAAAATTTCTCTTACAAAGACAAAAAAATGTCATTATTTTGATTATTATGTACCCCCAAAACGACAAAACGCTAACTAGTCAGTATTGTTAAATTATTGTAAACAATGTTCGAAGCATTTTTATTAATTTATTTGTACATAGTGAAAACTTGTTGTATTTGTAATCTATTATAATGGTTTCCGGTTTTAGTTATTAAATCTTTGTTGCACTTGCATCAAAAATGGTGTGTTCTATTTTGGTTTTGACAAAAACAAACATACCATAGTTGATGCCTAAAATGTATTTGATAAGAAAAAAAAAAGGTACAAAATATTCTTTATTGTAAGTTCAAGTGTTGATAAAGAAACTTTAGCTCCCATCATAAGTAATGTTATATTGTGTTTTATCCGCTTAAATCGTAATGCTTTTTTTTTGTACATAATATTTATTAACTTTTTACAAATTTTGCATTTTTTTTATATATATTTTGAATCTGATAGTTCTTGCCTGCTGTGTAGCCTATAAAGTTTTTAGGTCATTATTCACACAATGTATTTATATTATTAATGTTTATATCTCACAATAATAAAATTGTTATATTTTTTAAATGTCTTGAATTTTTTTTTTACCAGGCAAAAAGCTTATCCGAATCTAAAAACGTGGACTCGTCCAAATTGCCACTCATCCAATTTTCAATATCCTTGACACTCCTTGGCACTTTTGTCAAATCCTCCATTCCATTTTCAGTTACCAAAACATCATCTTCAATCCTTACACCGCCAAACTTACGGAATCTTTCAATTACTCCTGGTACAAGGAATTTGTTTAGTTTCTGATCTTCTAATGCCTTATTTATGAGCTAAGTAAAAAATCAATTAGTTATTTTATACATATTGTAGCTAAATTATTAAATATTACAGGGTCAATGAAATAACATCCAGGCTCAATAGTGAGCACCATGCCTTTTTCCAAAACCCTTGCGGTTCTTAATTTATTGAGGCCCACTTTTGTAGGTCTTGCGGGTTGATCTGAAAGATAACCTCCAACATCGTGTACGTCCAAGCCCATAAAATGACCCAAACCGTGAGGCTAAAATGAAACTAGTAAATAATTGCAATATACACTCACCAGCAACATTAGGGGAACAGACAAAATTTACACTAAGTTTGACATCCATTTGTTTTTTAACCTTCCGCTCGATTTCGACAAATTTTTCACAGATTGTAGCTTGATTCTTCAGGAATACATTTGACGTATTATCGTTATTAAATGACTCGTTTTTATATCATATACAGGAATGGAGAGAAAGTCACTAATTTTCAGAGATTTTTGAGACACTTTGTGGAAAACGACACGTTTTCATATTCAATTCGTATGTCGACATGGAGAAAATTAAGGTCAATATTCACCTTTTCTTCGAAACTCTGTATTTCCAATAATATTGAAAATATCAAAGTGAATAAAAAATTAAAATATTCGGAAAACATCAGGCTACAATTTGGTGTTGAAAACTGTTCTGTTCCCTTAGTTTAACCGGAGTGTGTATTTTGAGGACCATTTACTTGAAAAATTGCCCCTAATCCAGCCTCAAACATCTCATTTACATCCCCTTGTAGCAATCCCCCTTTCTTAAGCTCCTCTAACATGGTCTTATTAGCTAAAACATGCATATCAACCCAAGAAACTCCCGGTTTGCAAGCTTTATGGACTGCCAAGGTTGCAGTTAGAACTGCTTCGTAAATCATTTTTTGGTCAGCACTGAATTTACCATTTGCTTCAATTAAAAAAAAAAAAAAAAATTGCAGTGCTTGTAGGACAAATATTAAGCAAAATCTTACCTGGAAATGTACAAGTAATGTCAGCAGCATATCCGAAATAATTTCCGCCCATATCAAAGAGGCAAATGTCGCCGTTTTTAATGGGAGAGGCATTGGGGCATCCTGCGTGACCGTAATGGAGTATGGCCCCGTTTACACCTGAACCGCAGATGCATGTGTAGGACGCGTGACGGCAACCACCTAGAATTTGTCGGAATTTTATTGTATGATTTTTAGTTTAAAATGATTTACCTTTTTCGTAACAAGCGTTTAGGAATTTGGCTTCGCCTTGGTACTCGTAGTTTCCGGGTTTAATGAATTTCATGACCTTAAATTAATGTTATTAATTCGAAATTCAAGTAAGTATGGACCAAAAATTTAATCAGAGGCTTGAAATGTATGGGATTTGAATCAGAAATTTTAGATTTGTAAAATTTCAAAATAGAATCTGAATCTCAATTTTTGAAGGCTTCAGAGTTCTAGAATAATAAATCTAACATAATGGAAACAGGAATTTAGTATTAAGAATGCTTCTATAAGGTTCTAAAATTGATACAGGGGCGAATGTAAATATAATATTTGGGAATTATTTGAAATCAATTGGGAAGCTAAATATGAAACGATATATATTTTAGGAAAATCAAATGTCCAACTTCGTGTTTATGGGGACTATCAAATTGAAAATATTGGGAGTCTACTTGTCTATCAACATAAACTTTTTCTCAATTTCTCTGGAATTTTTTCTCCGTTGCCAATTTATTCGTAATTTTTCTTATATTTCTTCTCTTTGTTACTCAATTTTTGTCTATTACCATATCCCTTACTTAGTTTCCGTTTTCTTGTTAATTTCTCTAAATAGAGAAAATTCAAAAGTCTCGACTAGAAATAAGATATTGTCTACTTGTCTACGAAATTGTGTCTTCTCTCTATATTTCAGCTTTTTTAGTTCAATTTTTGTCTATTCCCGGCTCTTGGAATTGTCGAAATAATGAAAATTCAAAAGCCTGGAATAGAAAAAACCGAGGAAAAACATTACCTAATTTCCACTTTTTTGACATTTAGAGATTTGAGATTCACGAGAAGTTCCAATCATAGACTAAAAATTTGAGATCTATAAACCTGAGACTAGAATGTTCCAAGATTGTTTGAGAGAGGTAGGTTGCCTGGGCTGGGACTCTGTAATAAATAGAGATATTTTCTCTATCTCTATTGACGTTCCCTCTCTATTTATTTCGAAAAGAGGGAAGAAAATAGCAAGTGCCATAGCAATAGGGATAACGATATATATTCTTTACAGAGTCCCAGTCCTGATAACTTTATAACGTCATCTGGGGTGGCTCAACATAATGCAAATCTCCATAAAGCAACCCACATGTGTCATCGACAAGGGGTAAACCACCATCCCAGAATTGGTGCAAACAATTCCTCAAAGGGGAATTTTTTACGCATAATTCCTCAAAATTCCTACACAAATTCCTCCAGATACTCCATCACAAATTCCTCCAAATACCTCACCACGAACTTGTCCAAATACACTACAAATTCCTCTAAAAAAAGGGAAAATTTTGAAAATTTTTGCATGTAAAGAAGAAGGTAAGCAGCTCATTTTCCCAAAATTTCAAATATTTTCAGTGGAAAACAGCAACATGAAAAATCTTGGAAATCCACCAACAAAAACTAAATTAGTTGAAAATACAGTCTCACACATTTCAAAGTTTTCTTGGAAAACTAGTGACGGGAAAATTTTGAAACTTTTTGCATGTAAAGAGGAAGGTGAGATGCTCATTTTCCCAAAATTTCAAATTTTTTCAATGGAAAACAGCGACATGAAAAAATCTTGGAAATCAACCTACAAAAACTGAATTAATTGAAAATACAGTCTCATATATTTCATAGTTTTCTTGGAAAACTAGTGAAGAGAAAATTTTGAAACTTTCTGCATGTAAAGAGGAAGGTGAGAAGCTCATTTTTCCAAAATTTCAATTTTTTTTATGGAAAACAGCAACATGAAAAAATCTTGGAAATCAACCTACAAAAACTGAGTTAATTGAAAATACAGTCTCACACATTTCAAAGTTTTCCTAGAAAACTAGTGAAGGGAAAATTTTGAAACTTTCTGCATGGAAAGAGGAAGGTGAGATGCTCATTTTCCCAAAATTTCAAATTTTTTCAATGGAAAACAGCGACATGAAAAAATCTTGGAAATCAACCTACAAAAACTGAATTAATTGAAAATACAGTCTCATATATTTCATAGTTTTCTTGGAAAACTAGTGAAGAGAAAATTTTGAAACTTTTTGCATGTAAAGAGGAAGGTGAGAAGCTCATTTTCCCAAAATTACAAATTTTTCCAATGGAAAACAGTAATATGAAAAATCTTGAAAATCAACCTACAAAAACTGAGTTAATTGAAAATACCTACAGTCTCACATATTTCAAAGTTCTCCTAGAAAACTAGTGAAGGGAAAATTTTGAAACTTTCTACATGTAAAGAGGAAGGTGAGATGCTCATTTTCCCAAAATTTCAAATTTTTTCAATGGAAAACAGCAACATGAAAAAATCTTGGAAATCAACCTACAAAAACTGAATTAATTGAAAATACAGTCTCACATATTCCAAAGTTTTCCTAGAAAACTAGTGAAGGGAAAATTTTGAAACTTTCTACATGTAAAGAGGAAGGTGAGATGCTCATTTTCCCAAAATTTCAAATTTTTTCAATGGAAAACAGCAACATGAAAAAATCTTGGAAATCAACCTACAAAAACTGAATTAATTGAAAATACAGTCTCACATATTCCAAAGTTTACCTAGAAAACTAGTGAAGGGAAAATTTTGAAACTTTTTGCATGTAAAGAGGAAGGTGAGAAGCTCATTTTCCCAAAATTACAAATTTTTCCGATGGAAAACAGTAATATGAAAAATCTTGAAAATCAACCTACAAAAACCGAGTTAATTGAAAATACCTACAGTCTCACATATTTCAAAGTTCTCCTAGAAAACTAGTGAAGGGAAAATTTTGAAACTTTCTGCATGGAAAGAGGAAGGTGAGATGCTCATTTTCCCAAAATTTCAAATTTTTTCAATGGAAAACAGCAACATGAAAAAATCTTGGAAATCAACCTACAAAAACTGAATTAATTGAAAATACCTACAGTCTCACATATTCCAAAGTTTACCTAGAAAACTAGTAAAGGGAAAATTTTGAAACTTTTTGCATGTAAAAAGGAAGGTGAGAAGATCATTTTTCCAAAATTTCAAATTTTTCCAGCAGAAAATTACAACATGAGGAATCTTGGAAATCGACCTACAATAACTGAATTAATTGAAATTACAGTCTCACACATTTCAAAGTTTTCCTGGAAAACTAGTGAAGGGAAAATTTTGAAACTTTTTGCATGTAAAGAGGAAGGTGAGAAGCTCATTTTCCTAAAATTACAAATTTTTCCAATGGAAAACGGTAATATGAAAAATCTTGAAAATCAACCTACAAAAACTGAGCTAATTGAAAATACCTACAGTCTCACATATTTCAAAGTTTTCCTAGAAAACCAGTGAAGGAAAAATTTTGAAACTTTCTGCATGTAAAGAGGAAGGTGAGAAGCTCATTTTCCCAAAATTTTCAAATTTTTTCAGTGGAAAACAGCAACATGAAAAAATCTTGGAAATCAACCTACAAAAACTGAGTTAATTGAAAATACAGTCTCACACATTTCAAAGTTTTCCTAGAAAACTAGTGAAGGGAAAATTTTGAAACTTTCTGCATGGAAAGAGGAAGGTGAGATGCTCATTTTCCCAAAATTTCAAATTTTTTCAATGGAAAACAGCGACATGAAAAAATCTTGGAAATCAACCTACAAAAACTGAATTAATTGAAAATACAGTCTCATATATTTCATAGTTTTCTTGGAAAACTAGTGAAGAGAAAATTTTGAAACTTTCTGCATGTAAAGAGGAAGGTGAGAAGCTCATTTTTCCAAAATTTCAATTTTTTTTATGGAAAACAGCAACATGAAAAAATCTTGGAAATCAACCTTCAAAAACTGAATTCCTAATTGAAAATACAGTCTCATATATTTCAAAGTTTTCTTGGAGAAGTAGTGAAGAGAAAACTTTGAAACTTTTTGCATGTAAAAAGGAAGGTGAGAAGTGAGAAGCTTATTTTCCCAAAATTTCAAATTTTTCCAGTAGCAAACTACAACATGAGGAATTTTGGAAATCGACCTACAATAACTGAATTAGGTAATTGAAAATACAGTCCCACACGTTTCAAAGTTTTCCTGGAAAACTAGTGAAGGGAAAATTTTGAAACTTTTTGCATGTAAAGAGGAAGGTGAGAAGCTCATTTTCCTGAAATTACAAATTTTTCCAATGGAAAACAGTAACATGAAAAATCTTGGAAATTAACCTACAAAAACCGAGTTAATTGAAAATACAGTCTCACATATTTCAAAGTTTTCCTAGAAAACTAGTGAAGGGAAAATTTTGAAACCTTTTGCATGTAAAGAGGAAGTTGAAAAGCTCATTTTCTTATAATTTCAAATTTTTTCAGTAGAAAACAGCAACATGAATAATCTTGGAAATTAAGCTAAGGTAAACGTACCAATTATTGACACTGATCCAATAATTGACACTGAGCCACATTTAATTCAAAAATAAGATCATCTTGGTGAACAGAGTATATTTACGTAAAAAATCTTAAAGAATAGAAGGTTTGGCAACCCTGTACCGATTGGGAGTTGAATCGCCAAACTCCATTTTCAGTTTTCATGCCGCCATTTGCAAAGTGTCTGTGACTGGAGAAAAACGTTAAGCAAATCGTTAAGGTAAGTAAATTAATTGATGCATTTAAACAATTGCTGAAATTATGTTTGATGTTTTATAAGTATTTGGGGGGCTCATCTAGACTATGAGGTATTGTTTCTATCATATTTCTGTGGGCATAAATCATCTAGTGCCAGGTTGCTGAGGTGTCAATGACTGGATCAAGTCTAAACCTAATATCACCAGTCATTGACACTAGTGTCAATGACTGGTACATCGATGCATATTCAGTGGATAATGCTAAGATACGCAAGTATGAGTGTGTAAGCTTCCCTATAAATATGGCTTCAAAAAAACAATCGGGTCCAGTTATTGACAGGGTGTCAGTTACTGGTACATAAGATGTCAATTACTGGAGCAACGAAATATGTGTTTCATTGGGTAGGTTGATATTACGCCTCTTTGGCGAATACCCAATAAAATACGTATAAACGTGGACCCGACAGAACAAACTAGATCTTGTTGAAGCATTGTCATTGTATATTTCAGATATGGCGCCAAAAAAAAATTACACGAAAGAGCAGATGAATGCAGCTCTTGAAGCTGTGGCAAGAGGAACACCTGTAGCCCAGGCTGCTAGACTACACTCTGTTCCTAGAGTGACGCTGATGTATAAATCACAAGGAAAGTTACCAGTGGATTGCCGAATGGGACCCAGCACCATTCTGACCACCAATGAAGAGAATCTTCTCGAAAAATGGATTCTTTCGATGGCTAAGGCACATCATCCAGTCAATAAGGAACAATTGTTGGATAGCGTCCAATTGATAATTCGAGACGATAAACGTCCAAACCCTTTTACCAATTTCCGTCCAGGCCGAAAGTGGTATGACTCGTTCATGAAAAGGCATCCAATTTTGAGTAAGAGGGTAGCCCAAAATTTAACACCTGCTCGTGAAAAAGTGTCTGAACAACAGCTTCGACAATGGTTCCAAGAAATAGAGCTTTATTTAAAGTCTAAATACCTGTTTGAGATAACCAACGATCCTACAAGAGTCTTCAATTCCGATGAGAGTGCATTTTTTCTACAGCCAAAGGCAGACAAAGTATTGGCAAGAAAAGGAGATAAGAGTGTGTATAATGCTGGAACAAATGACGAAAAAGAGAATCTCACAGTTCTGGTGACAGCAAATGCCGCTGGAGAATTTGCTCCGCCCATGGTAATTTTCAAGTATGAACGTATTCCAAGCAATATAGCAATCAGTATCAATAAAACTTGGGGATTAGGTCGGTCAGAAAGTGGCTGGATGTGTGGCGCTACCTTCTTTGAATACGTAACTAACGTGTTTGTTCCGTGGCTAGAAAGTCAAAAAATTAAACGACCGATTTTAATGTTCATAGATGGCCATGTGTCGCATATGACTTTACATTTATCACGATTCTGTTCAAGAAACGGAATTGAACTATTTGCCTTATATCCCAACTCGACTCATTTAATCCAACCCATGGATGTGGCGGTTTTCAAACCCCTTAAGCAATTTTGGAAATCATCTGTAAGAGACTGGCATCTCGACAACCATGGAATTAAGTTCAGGAAGGATAATTTTGGAACCGTATTTGAGAAGGCCTTATCAAAAATCACAAAAGAGACGATACAAAATGGCTTTAGGGGCTGTGGTATTTGTCCATTCAATGTTGAAAATGTGAAATTTTCAAAAATTTCTACCCAATCAGCAAACACTAAACAATTTCCCAAAGCAAAAGAAGGACTTTTGGTCTTGGAGAAAACCATTCCCTCCGAAAAACTAGAAAGATTTAGAGCTAATTTCAAAGCTGATTGGACTGGAAACATTGAAGATACTTCACTATTTAATGTATGGTCGGCAATGAAACTGGAATCGATCAGTAACATGAGAGTTGACAAAGAAGTCAAACCAGGCAATGAAAACAACCTTGGAAAAGAAGATACTATTGCAGAAGCTATCGAAGCGAATAATTCGAATGGAGAAGTTCTGCAACAAAAAGATAATGATATATCGGAGCCGGGATGTTCAGGTCTACATCTGGGACATCAGGCAGAAGAAAATCCCACAATAGATCCTTATGACACTCTCGCTACTCCAGAAAAACAAATAACGCCCGCTTCCGCTATCTTGTCTGCGACTAACCCCCTTTCATCGAAATCCATAACACCCTTAAATCTTTCATCATTAAAAGAACAAGTTCCCACACCCTTCAAGAAGGCGCTATTCTGGCCTGAAGAAATTAGTTCAGAAAAAAAACGAAAAAAAGAAAAAATTCCATCTGCTATCACCTCAGAAAAATGGCAGGAATACCATATGAAAAAGGCCAGAGAGAAAGATAAAATGTTGGAAGAAAAAAAAAATAAAGCGGAAGAAAGGAAACGAAAAAAGGAAGAGAAAGCCAGGCAAATTCAACAAAAAGCCAAAAAGAAGAAAGTTTTACCTTCCGACTCATCAGATTCAGGTGAAGAGTGGGTGGAAAGCGGGGATAGTTTGGATGATGTCAACATTTATTCGGAACGAGAAGAAGATGAAGATGAGTATGACCATATTCCATTGATCCGCTTGAAATCAAGAAAGACTTCAGGGTTAACCACGAATTTACAATATGATGATATACATGTTGGAGACTTCATTTTGGCTAAGTTTATGGGAGGGAAAAAGAAAGTTTTTTTTTATAAATATGTCTGTGTCGTACAAAAACTATACGCGCAGGATGATATTGAAGTTGCTTCTCTGAGATCCATAAACGGAAAATCCTGTTTTAAGATAGCAGAAAACGATATCTCTACTATAAGATTAGAAGACATCGTTGAAAAACTACCTCAACCAGAAATTCAGAACATCGGTGATAGAATAAAATATGTGTTCTCAAATAACATTGAAATAAATGAGGCCTAAAATAGATTATAAATATTATTTTTGAATAAAATGATTTTCCTTTTGTGTCAATTATTGGTGTGTCAATTACTGGAGCCTATGAAAAAATGAACTGTCAATAACTGGTGCCTCTGTTATATTTTATTCAAAAATTTTTTTTCCCGAAAAAAATTAAGTTACTCCTAATAAAACTATGGTCATCTTGTTCGGGAAAGTCCAAAAAATGATATAAAAAATATAAATTGGACCTTAAGTGATCAGTATAACCTTGGTGATTTTTTAAAAGGTTTTTCTTGCCTTAAGGTGTCAATAATTGGTACGTTTACCTTACAAAAACTGAATTAGTTGAAAATACAGTTTCACATATTTCAAAGTTTTCCTGGAAAACTAGGGAAGGAAAATTTTTGAAACTTTTTGTATGTAAAGAGGAACGTGAGAAGCTCATTTTCCCAAAATTTCAAATTTTTTCTGTGGAAAATAACAACATGAAAAATCTTGGAAATCAGCCTATAAAAACTATATTCATTATTTTTTTGAAATTTTTTAAATTTGGACCTGTAAGAAATCATAAAGTGTAATTTTGAGAGGATTTTTTTAATAAAAATGAATATCCAACATCCAACACAAAACTAGATTTTTATTAAATTTCCATTTATCACTAATTATTTCTTATAAAAAGAATGTGAACCTCAGTGACGTCATGACCTCACAAATTTTTCCAAATTCCCCATAAATTCCTCCAAATTCCCTATAAATTCCGATGAGTTCCTTCAAATTCCTCACAAATTTTTCTAAATTTCCCATGAAATTTCCCATAAATTCCTCTAAATTCCCCACATTTTTGGCAAAGAATTCCTAGGTGGTTTGCCCCTTGGTCATCAAGTTACTCATTATCAGGCAACCTATTAACTTTAGGAATCTTCAGAATTTACTAAAAAGTTGAATTTTAACCAGTATTTTCATATTAAAATTGGTGTAGAAAATATGAAGGAACAGGTTTTTTTTTTTCTATATTGACACACCACAGACAGCCTTTACCTTTACAGGTAGAAGAAAGGTGTAAATACAAAAGTTGTACAATTTTGGGTAGGAGGTGGAGTTTCAATATATTAAAAAACACCCTGTACCCGAGCCTGTACCTATCTAGAAATAAAACTCTTTAACCCTGATGATCCTTCAAATTCCTAATCAGTATCATTATAAATGCAACAGACTTTGAACTAAATGCTGATAAATACTTACCACAATCAAAATTAAGTATAAAATCAATCAAGTTGAATCAACAATAAGATTAAAACTTTGATAAATCTCTGTTTTTTAAAGTATTAATGATTTTTTTCTTGTTGCTAGGTGCAGTGATATGCATCTCATATAAAATTTGATATTTAAAATGAGATTTTCTGTGAGATTATTCTTACCTGTCTATGGGCATAACTGGACACAGCAACCACATATTTAATAACTCTAATTTCGTGTTCCGTTTTGTAAACTCTCAAATTAGCTATAACTGGAAACAAAATAGCTTCATCAACGGAAAACTTATCAATACCATCAAAACTAGCTGGTTTTGCTGTTAAACCACTATCAGTATTCAAGCCTAAAAAAATGAACCATTATTGAAATTGTTAATTAATTATTATTAACAAACCTTTTAATGTTAAAATTTTAGCTCTATTTAACTTTTCTAAAACAGTTTTCAATTCGTCTACGTAATACACATTAGCAATGCCATATTTATTAGAAAAATCGTGTATTTGGGCCAAAGGCCCCATCCAAACAGCATACTCTTCAGGATGTCTCGGTATAAAAAGATAAGACTCTCCTGTTTTAACATCAATAGCTCCATAACATTCTGCTTCAATTACACCAAAAGCCCACATAAAATAAGATTCTTGTCTGCAATATTAATTAAAGATAAATAAATAATTATTTTATTAATGAAGCAATTCTTACCTAAAAACATTATAAGTAATATCGGTATCGTAAAAAGGCACTTCTTCGCCACCTTGTAGCAGCACCAAAGCATCGGTAATTTTCTCCCTGAGACTGTTAACAAGTCTTTGACGATTCAAACTAAATAATTCAGTGGGTATTTGTAGAGTATGAGGCCCCATTGAGAGGACTCCCCCTTTTTTCGTGCTCACTTCTCCCGACATGACTGGACTGATTGAAAATCTGTTTGATACTAATTTGAATTGAATGGTTTAGAGATTAAAGTAGACAATTGTTATTGAGGTTTGCGGTAATTAAGATAAATTATTGTTTGTTTAGGGTTTAAAGTAGCAAAACATATGATTTTGAAACTTGAAAACATAAACAGATAAACATAACCTCATTTTTTTTACATTAATAATTTTGAGCTTTTGGTGAATGTCAATAGATGGCGCTCGGTGTTAAAAAAGGATTTTTACAGTGACTCAATAAACTTTTTCATACAGTGGCGACAATATGCAATCAATAAGAGGTTCCGCCGCCATATTCTAGCTAATTTTAAATAGAAATCTACATAGAAGCCCCATCGACATATTCTTACTAATTTTCAATATGATTTTCATAGAATTTTGACTGTGGTTTATTGAGTCACTGTAAAATAGGGTCTCTATCGAAATCGTAGAAATTAGAGTACATTTTTATTTTTCAACCCACGAGCGTGCTTAAATTGCACTTTACCGCACTTATTTGCAAGTGGAAAGTAGCACTTTATCGCGTGTGTGGAAAACTAGACTGCAAAAAGTGTGCGGTAAACACTGCGGTAAGGTAAAGTACCTACCCAGACAGCGTGCAAAGTCTTAAGGCATTTTTTTAAAGTCTGCATTACGTCTGAAGACAAAAAAAGACGTCTAGAAGACCCTAATAACACCGATCTCCCAGAAACATCCTATTTATGTACCATTAAGGTCCTTATGTTTCCGACATAAATGGTACATCGCTGCGATGTTTGTAATGTAACATCTCTAGGATGATTGTCCTGAAATGTTTTAGAAACATCCTTTCGAAAATATCTATCGACAAAAAGATTTTTCGTTCTCAAAATTAGATACTTATTACAGCTGAAAAATGGCTAACATTATTTTACAAAACTAGGTAGGACCTCAGACCGGCAGGACCCAGTATTAAATTTGCCAATTTTGTGTGATTTCTGAAAATGTCTCTATCACACACACAAACTAATTTCAAATTCCATAATATACCTGTAATGTATATAGATAAGGTACTTAATATTAATTTTGTATTGTAACAACAGCAAAATTTAATTTTTCATTCGACTTACAACTTGGAATAAAATAAAATATGTATTGATAAAAGTCTTCTCTCTTTTCAACTTTCAAACATCGTGAATATTCGTGAAGCCGAAGTGTATGGCGCAGGCGCGTGCTCAGGCATTTGTACTTGTACCTACCGGTCAGGACAGGAGGGCACGCCACCACGTAGGGTCGGCGCCGCAGCCAGCGCAGACGGGCAGAATCAGTCGAACGGGTCGTCCTGTGCGCTTCGCTTGTGTTGTTGGGCGGAATTTTATTTCGTAATGGCGTCGTGCTGTGTGGAGGATTTTTCAATTTGTGGTTTTTCGCTACACCTAGTTGTGCCATTTTGTGTTCGAAAGGATCTCTGCGACCTACCAGTGCTTATTAGTTGGTGAGAAAGATTATTTGTTGAAAGATAACGTCGCATAACTATCAATTGTTTAGTTTATTTAATTTCAATATGGCGTCGGTTAGGAAATTTCTAACTTTTCTAATAAATAGCCCCTAAAAACCCGAACTTCATTCTTTATTAGGTAAGAGAAAATAACCAATAATTATTTTTTGTTTTCATAGTTGATTACATTCTAGGTGTGCAAGTTGAATTGTACTTCAAGAACTTTGGATTTTGGTTCTGTGGTTGTTTTGGTTAGTTAATGGTACCTTTATGAAATTGGAGCACCAAAAAAAAAAAGAAAACGCCGAACTCCCCCACTACAACATGCTGCCACTGCCAAACTATGGTTTTCGATGACATGACGGGGCATAAATACTACATTATTTAGGCAAAATTGTCCGTCGGTTATTATTAGTTGATAGATAATCAATATAAGTATGCATGTACCTTATTTTTTCAATAAAAAATGTTATTGGAAACTGATGTGCCTACTTAATTTTATAATTTTCAATTTTTGTTTTTTTTTTGGAAAAAGTTCTATCTGACTTCCAGAAAATAGAACGAAAATTGAAAATTATTGAATTAGGTAATTTTTAATCCATAATCCTAAAATTCATTCACCTATTAAAGTCATACTAGAAACATATAGAGGATGTTTCTTACACCTGCCCCGGATGTATTAGGTACATCCCGCGTCATCTTAGAAACATCCCTGAGAGATGTTTATAGGACATCGCAAATGATGACACGGCTGTTGCCTGCAACATCCCAGGGATGTCCCCAGGAAAATAGGGACCTCCCAGGGACGTCTTCATTATCCCTGATGGATGTTTCTGGAATGTTTCTGCGATGTTACTGTGTTATTAGGGGACGTCCATAAGATGTCGTGAATTTACATCTTACGGAAAACTATTTGGTACAACCACCACAACCAGGCTTAAAAGTGAATAATGGTTCATGTATTGAAACGAAATAACGAAATTCAAAGACGTCTCGTTGAAGACGTTTTCAAAATGTCTTTAGACGTAAAGACGTCATTAGGCAGTAGAGGTCTGAAAGACGTTGGGTTTCGTAACATAATATACTTCAAGATATCTTTAAAACGTCTTAAAGACGTAAGCAAGACTTATTGAATGTCGTTTGTGGACATCTTAGGGACGTCTTTGAGATGTATACAACAAAAGCATTCTGTATAACATTTTGGAAATTTCAGAACCATTTTAGAATGCTCCAAAACATTCAAAAACCGATTTCCAAATGCACTTTAGAACAATTCAGGAGTTTGAAACCCATTTTAGGAAGTTCCAAAACACTCAAACACTCGACTAGAGTCTCCAGAAACATTTTGAAAAGTGCCAGAATCTTAGGATGCAGGTCAAAAGTTACAAAACGCCTGCCATCAGAAGGCTTTCTAGAGCGAATTTAGATTGTTGTAGAACTTTGAAGCTTTAATAAGCATCCAAAATAGTACAAATTCAATTTACAATTTTCAGGAGCATTTTGGAACAATTTGGAAACTTCAGAGTTATTTCAGAGCAATCAAGGATTCAATTTAGAACTACATATATTATTTTGTAGGTCTGATGATGCTCGTATGAGCGAAACACATGTCACTATGAAGTGAATAAAATAATAAATAATCTGTATGTATCAGAGCTGGGATCGTTACTTGAAAAAAGTATCGCGTTACTTTACAGTTACTTTTGCTTAAAAATAACTCGTTATTTAAAATTTACAGTTACTTTCGAATAATGATAACTTTATTTTCGTAACTTCTATACTTTGGAAGTAACTTCTCTACTTTAGAAGTATAGTTCGTTACTTAAAAGTAACTCGTTATTTGAAAGTAATCCGTTGCCTCAACGCGTTAGTTTGAAATAAAGCGCTACTTTCAAATGAAGCGTTACTTTTAAAGTAACGCGTTACTTCAAAAATAACTATTTACGTCGGAAATTGCGTTATTCCTGAATTTGACTCACCAACACAGCAGTCCAAACAATCAAATAAGACCTATACGAAATGCCAATATGTTTTTAGTTTGTGAGTCCGACTATGTGGACGAGTTTTGTTGCAAAATTCAAACGGATTAAGGATTAAGCGACTAAATAGAGAACTTGGTTTTGGACAAACCTGCTTTTTGAAGCGTCCCAGTGTGTGCATATAGTGTCTTTAGAGCAGAGGCGGCGCGTGTCACGCCCAAAAACGATTATTTTGAGCTTTCAAAACAAATTTTTTCTCCAAACGTCAAAAAAACGTCACTTTGTTAACCCCTGTCAAGATGTCAGAAATTTAATTTCTATGCTGGTAGGCAAATCCAGCAGGTTAACACCTGTCGAGGTGGTAGAAATTTAACTTCTATGCTGCTTGGCAACCCCAGCGGCAGCAAAAGTACTTTTAGTGCCGCTGGAGCGGCGGCAAAAGTACTTTTAGTGCCGCTCGTACTTTTACTGCCGCTCAACCATTCAGTTACCCCCGAGCTTACCCCATTCGTTTGGAGAAAAAATAGTGTGTTGCATACGGAGTAGAAGCACTTTTTTGTAAGTAAAGCTTCTACTCCTAATACAACAATATACTATTCTGTACTACCCACATTTTATTTGACATACAAAGTTTTTGGATTACTTATTTTCCTTTTCCTCAATCGTCAATTATTTGTAAAGAAGATAAACAAATTGAGAGAACGCGCTACTTTCATAGTAACTCGTTACTTTAACAAAATAACGATCTGCAGTTACTTTAGGAAAGAAACGTCGTTACAGTTACTTATCAATCAATCTAAAAAGTAACGAAGTTACCAAGTAACGCGTTACTTTCAGTAACTCGTTAAAGTAAAGTAACTATTTTTTGTCTTTACTCCCAGCTCTGATTGTTGTAGAACTTTGAACCTTTAATAAGCATCCAAAATAGTTCAAATCCAATTTACAATTTTTAGGAGCATTTTGGAACAATTTGGAAACTTCAGAGTTATTTCAGAGCAATTAAGGATTCAATTTAGAACTAGAAACCTTCATGAACTTTTTTGAACCCATTTAGAACACTTTAGAGCTTCAATATAGGACTCCAATCTAACATACCTACCTAAAAATCTGTCAGAACAGTACCTACTGAAAGACTTTTAGATTGTTCCAGCAGGACTCTTCAAGGCTGCCGGTATGTGCAGTAAAGTATCATTTTTCGCATTTCCTAGGTACCTAAATATACTTATAACTATAATGATGTAAGGACTGATGAGGTGTATTTTTTCTCCTAAATCTTTTCTAATTAATAATAGGGAAATTAATTAATGTATAACACATTTCTCCATTTTAGTGTTATTTGTAAATCCCAAACACAATAATAACTAATATTATTTTCTTGTAGATTTGTCTCTGCATGCTGTGTGAGGAGGTGAGAACAATGAGAAGACACTGATAAATGCGTGTCGTTTATTTTTCCCATTTTCTCATGATGAAATATTTAATTATGAGAAAAAAACAATGTTTGTTCCTTTTGGGAGTGTCGAAAATATGAACCCCAATATTTTATTAGCT